TGGGAATAAAAATGGGAAAGGGAATGGAGATGGGAATGCGAATGCGAATGGGAATAGAAATGGGAATTGGAAAGAGAGTATGAATAGTAATGGGAATGGAAAAAGGAAAGGGAATGCCAATAGGAATGGGAAAGGGAAAGGAAATGCGAATGGGAATGGGAATGGGAAAGGGAAAGGGTATGCGAATGGAAATAGGAAAGGAAATGTCAATGGCAATGGGAACGAAAATGTGAATGGGAACTAAAACTGGGATGGGAATGGAATGGAAAAGGATTTAAAATAAGAATAATAATTGGAATAGGAATACGAACCCAAATAGGGAATAGGAACCGGAATAGGAACCGGAACCGGAACATGAATAGGAATTGATACCGAAACAAGAACATGAACAGAAACCAAAAACCAAAATAGAAACTGGAACAGATGCTGGAACACAGAATGAGGGTTAAATCATATTTTCTAATAGACCATGATGGTTTTCTATAATAAACCAAAGAAAAAAAAAATGATTTTTGATTTATTGTTATAATTGAATTAATTATTTTTATAAATCATTCTAATAACCTAATCTCAAAAACTTTCTCTCATAACCCTGACGTGACAACTCGTAATTGTTTAGGTAGGAAAATTCATCATAAACCAATCGTGAGCTACCACGTCGAGGTTGTGAGAGAAAGTTTGTGAGATTAGGTTATAAATGTAGTATTGCTCATCATTATAATTTCAATAATACTACACCCACAACCTATTCTCACAAACTTCTCTTACAACCTTGATGTGGTAGCTGAGTTGACACTGTCACGTCAGCTCTATCACACCAAAGACACAAAATGATTTTAACTAGATCAAAGAAACAATCGTTCCTACATAGGGAACGACTGTTCCTTATAAAGGAATTGTCGTTCCTCACGAAAGGAATGATCGTTCTTTATGAAGGAACAATATTGTGACTGTTTCTTCTAAATGAATGATCGTTCGCTTCTCGTAGTGCCGTGGGTGCCTTGGGTGTGGTGGAAGCTGACGTGACAACGCCAATCTGCTGACATGTTAGGATTGTAAGAGAAGGTTGTGAGATTGAATTGTAAACGTAACATTTTTCTTATAATTTATAAGATAAGGATTAAAACCATTTTCCTCCCGTAAAGTATCCAAAATTTAATTTGGTCCAAAATTATGACATATTACACAAACTCCTCCATTGCCGTCAATTTCCACCGTTAAATATAACTGTTGACCAATATGACAATAAAAAGACAAAAATACCCCTGGCTAAAGAACAAATGTTAAGGATGTTGATGAAAAGACTAAAATATCCCTAGTTTAATAAAAGGAATTTAGGCGAATGATTGAAAGATTAAAATATCNTCACAGAAGGCGGCGTGCATGTGGGGCTATTCTCTTCTGTCACTCACGGGTTCCCCATCGCAACAACCTGTTCTTTTCTTCTTTTAAGGCATTCTTTAATAGTTTTTCTTTCTTTCTCTTTATTGTTTAAGTTCTCATACATATGTATATGTATGCATGTAGATGACTCATGCTTGTTATTCTTTCTAAATGCAAATGTTTAAATGCAAGAATGCCATGTAGCATAAAAATAAGTCATTCTCTACCATCTACAAGCTCATATCAAGATCACAAGTGGATAAACTCATGCATACATTTCTCTTGGATATTTCATCAAACATATTGCATGCACACTCAAACTCTAATTTGGCTACACTTCTACTTCTTTCTCAAGCTACTAATATTTGGAGTAAAACTCACTTAAATCAATACTAAACCTGGACAGGAAATACACTCCATAAATTCTTCTCAAACTCTTTCTAAATTCAACCAAACTTCTATCAATCACCATACAACAAATTCCTCTTCTCATGGCTGAATTCTATTCCTCAATAAACATCAATCTCATCAACAATTCTCAAAATCATAGGCACATATATACATGTAAAAATTCTCTACTCAATTGATTTCTCAAATCATAACTTGGGTTGGATTTACTTAACTTGAAAGTGAGCAACTCAACACTCTAGTCTTCTCTTGACACAACTTTCTTTCTCTTACTCCCTATTAACAACAACCATAAGAATTCACCACTTAACAAAAATTAAAACTCATATTTGGGTGCATGAGTCTTACCGTGAGGCTTAGGATTGAAAATCTACCTAACTTAGACCAAAATCTATAAATTTCCTTTGAAAATTGATTGAAGGAACTTGAGAGAATTTGGGTAGAGAGTGGCGTGAAAGGCAAAGAAGAATGGCTAGGGTTTTATCTTAATCTCTTAATATAACAAAAAGTTACTCATAGCTTCCCATTTTACCCTTATACTTTCCATGAAATTTTATCTATGTCCCTTAGTTAATTACCAAAAAGTCCTCATTCCAGTGCATTCTCCATGACATTCTATCTCTTTTCACTTCCCACACTTTCAACTAATTATGGGTGGAATGACCATTTTGCCCCTGAGTAAGATTTTCCCCAAAATCACTAAAATTTCCATGGACTTCTTCGCCCCGGCGAAGCTACCTGTTTCTGCCACGAGTTTGGGCAGAATGTACAATGCTGCGGCGACAAACTTCCTTTGCCGTGGCAAAGTCTGCAAAATTTTCTTCAACAAATTTTCATGCATTCAGCTTGAAATAAAGGCATAAAGACTTTAAGACATGAATAAAATTTCATACCTCACTGTGAGTGTTATAGAGCTGACATGACAATGCCAATCTGCTGATATGTTGGGATTGTAAGAGAAAGTTGTGAGATTGAGTTGTAAACGTAACATTTTTCTTATAATTTATAGGATAAGGATGAAAACCATTTTCCTCCCGTAAAGTATCCAAAATTTTGTTTGGTCCAAAATTATGACATATTACACAAACACCTCCATTGCCGTCAATTTCCACCGTTAAATATAACTGTTGACCAATATGACAATAAAAAGACAAAAATACCCCTGGTTAAAGAACAAATGTTAAGGATATTGATGAAAAGACTAAAATATCCCTAGTTTAATAAAAGGAATTTAGGCGAATGATTAAAAGATTATGGGTCTATTTGGTTTGTTATTTTGGATAGGATTTTGGAAATAGTATTTGGTAGTTGAGTAGGGTGATTATTACGAGGTAAAATTTAAAAATTAACAAAAAAACCCCATAGGTTTGCTAATTTAACTAAACACCCCAATATATAAATTTTTTTGTAAAATGACAAAAACACCCCCACCCATCCACAGTGCCAGATTCTAGCCACTACCGCTGGAATCTAGATGGAATCTAGCGTTACGACGTAGACTGGTCGGATCTGGCTGGTCGTACGTCGATCTGGCCTTTTCTGACCAGATCCACCATGGATTTGGCCGGAAACGGCCAGATCTGGTCGTCGACGGCTGCAAAAGGCCAGATTTGGCCGTCAGTGATAGCCAAAGATATGGCCGTCGTTGTCGGTCAACGATGGCCAAGAGTTAGCCATCGCTGACGGCTAGATCCACTATGGACCTGGCCGAAAAAAGTCTAGATCGACGAATTACTGGCCAGTTCCGGTCGTTTGTACACCGTTATGACAGATTCCGGCTACCACCGACGTTGGTTGCCAGAATCTAGCAACTATGGGTGGGTGGGGGTATTTTTGTTAATTTATAAATTTTTTTGTTGGGGGTGTTTTTGTTAATTAGCAAACTTAGGGGAGTTTAAAAGTTTTTTTAATTTATGATTGGATTTTGAAAATAAGGAAACAAACATGCATTTGTATTTGGAATAGGGATAGAATATGGATAAATAATAAACCAAACGGACCCTAAAATATCATTGGCTTGAAATAAAAGATTTTAAGGAGTCAGACTTTATTTGACATTTTATTATTAAAAAAATAGGTAATAATATACAGATTTTGTCTCAAATGCCCTTTGTACTATGATGTGCTTATTTAGGAAAAGTATGAAATAACTTTACTCTTCATAAAACCAAAAAAATAAAAAATATTTTACTAATTAAAAAATGTACAATAATATTTCATTTACACCATTTTTTTAACAAAACCAAAAAATCAATTTACTAACTAAAAAATGTGCAATAACAATATGTAATTTACAATCCTTTTTTCTTAAAAATAAAAAATAATAATAAAGTTTATCTTAATTTTTTAAACATATAATTTATATTTTTTTCCACTTTACTATAAAAAAGTCATCTGTAAAATATTTTTCTTACAGATTCATCATGTAATACAAAAATGCAAAAAAAATTTTCTCAAACCAAGGATATTTTAGTATTTTCATCAATCTCCTCGATCACTTTAAATTAAGGGTATTTTAACCTTTATATCAGTCTTTTCAAACTCTTTTTTCTTAAACTAAGGGTATTTTTTGTCTTTTCATCATTCCTCTTGCATGAAATCTTTCATACGTTTTATTTGAAAATAAGAAATTATAGTTTTTTGAAAAAAATTTATTTCCTATCATTTTCTTTCTTTTCATCATTCTTTCCCAAATTCTTCCTTGCTTTCTTTTTCCTCCTTATTCCTCGTCACGAAACCCTCGTCATTTGCCCTCCAACAACATGACGAGATGAGACCTAGCCTATAACAAAACCCTAAAGCCAATTAGCCTCTAAGGATGTTACGAGGTTGGATCCAATATCCGACAACATTGTAAGTTGGATTTAGCCACTAACACATATCGTGAGAACAAATTTTGTCCTCCGATGGCATTGTTCATGCATTTCGATCTCTCGTATCAGAGAAATGTCCTCTCGATATTCTAACGCTCCCATCGATATAGATTGAGCTATCTCACAACATTTTGAACCCATACAATAAATAAAACTCACGTAAGATAAGAAAAAAAATGTTATACAAATGTGATGTAATTTATCGTTAAACAATATTTTACTAAATCATTAATTTAATTAAAAAAATTTTACGGGTCAAGAGATTACCCACCCGAGTCCGATTGACTTAATCCATCCATCCCCGTTTACCACTACCATCACCACTAAAACTGCTTAAACCAGATCAAATCCTTCTCTAAACCCTAACACATCTCAGAAGAAGAAGGAGAACAAAAATGGCGAAACTTTTGCTTTGCCTGATTCTACTAACTGCACTCCTTCCATTTATCTCCTTCGCTTTCTCCCCCGAGGAGCCGACGGATCGGCGCGTCCTCGTTTTGCTCGATGACTTCGCGATCAAATCCTCCCACTCCCTCTTCTTCGGCTCCCTGAAATCCCGTGGGTTCCAGCTGGAATTCAAGCTAGCTGACGACCCCAACATCGGGTTGCAACGTTACGGCCAGTACTTGTACGACGCATTGGTCCTCTTCTGCCCCTCCGTCGACCGTACGTCACTCCACATTTTTAAATTATATCATCGAATTAGTAAATTGGATGAAGCTGATTATAATTGATATTTTGTTTAATTAGGTTTTGGAGGTTCGATCAATGTTGCTTCGATTGTGGAGTTTGTTGATTCGGGTCATGATTTGATAATTGCGGCCGATACTAATGCGTCCGATTTGATTCGGGAGATAGCCACCGAGTGCGGCGTTGATTTTGACGAGGTAGCTTGATGATTTGGAAGGGCTTAATTGATTTGCTTTTTGGCTTAGATTTGGCGGTTATTATCGTTGAATTATGTTACTTATGGATACAGGATGCCACTGCAATGGTCATTGATCACACCAGCTATGCAGTCTCGAATACGGATGGAGATCATACATTGATTGCTAGTGATGATTTTATCAAGTCTGATGTGATCCTCGGAAGCAAGAAAATTGAGGCAAGTGCACGATTCGGAAACATTTTTAATGTTAGATGTGCAGTTAGATTTTGTGATTATGCTTGATGGCTAGTCATTTTCAATACTATTGGCATTAAGTTACTAGTATATGCAACGCCTTTTGCATTTTAAAACTAATTTTAGTCAATGTAGAGTGATGTTAGGAATTCTGTGTAAGGGCATATAGTTTTAGATGTTCTTTGTTCTTTGTTTCTGGTTTGTTTTGCAGCCTCTAGCATAGCAATTGGGTCGTCTTTTTTTTTTTTTTTTTTTTTCTATCTCTTTATGATACAAGTAGTCTTTGCACATGTTTTATGATGAATGCAACCACTGGTTTGCATCCCAAAGTTTGTGCTATTATCATACTTGTGACAAAAAAGGTATTTCGTCTGATTATTATTAATATTAATTCTTTGTTGAACTGTTATAGGCTCCTGTACTCTTCCAGGGGATTGGGCATTCTCTAAATCCTGCCAATAGTTTGGTAAGCTGACTGCATCACTGTGCAGTAAAAGCTTTTTTGTTTTCTTATCTGCTTAGTTTTGCGATCATTCAGTATCTTCCATTTCTTTTTAATTTTGGCTAATAAATGTACTATATCTAGGTTTTAAAAGTTCTATCAGCTTCTCCATCAGCCTATTCTGCAAATCCAAAGTCCAAGTTGTCAAGTTCTCCAGCGCTCACTGGATCTTCTATCTCTTTAGTTTCAGTTGTGCAGGTAAGTTTTGGTGGGAGTTGATTTAGCTTCACTCTTGGTTATTCATGAAAATGATAATCAGGTTTACTTGGGTGGAAACATATTTTTAGTAAATGAGTTTGGATATTTGGCCTTTTCAAGTACCATTTTCTATGTTAACTAACCATTTATGGTACCATTATAGCTATATGTTGCTTCAATAGTATTTTGTTGACTATTGTGAGTGCTATTGAAGTCTAGAAAATATGAACATGATCAGAAGCTTTTTGGTTACAGGCGAGAAACAATGCTCGGGTTATGATCACAGGCTCATTAAGCTTGTTTAGCAATCGGTATGTAGTAGTCATTAGTTGACTTGTGTTTTCCACTAATTTATACTTATTATATTCATGGAATTTGGCTCTATTTTGCAGATTCTTTAGATCTGGAGTACAGAAGGCTGGGAGCTCAACTAAGTGAGTGACGTTTTGACTTACCTTTCTTATTTTGTCTCAATGATATCCAAGTCATCGGACAGTCTATGCTATTGATTGGTCAAGTTATTAAGCCTATTATTGCAGTTGTGCTGAGCCTGAATGTTAGAGATTACTGCTTTGTCCAACATGGTTGTTGCTTTAATAAATTACTAGAATTTATATACCTGCATCATGATTGAAGAATTTGAATCAAGGAAACTTAATCTTCTTCTGTCTGAAATGTCACCTGGTCTATTGTTGATTAAGTTTAAGTTTGTTCCTGGATATGTTTGTTGCATTTGTTCGTTAGATTGTACTGTAAAACTATAAGAGTTCTGTAAAGGAATCATAACAATGTTTGTGAAATGTATTCCTGTTAAACAACATAGAAATAGTATTTTATGGTTCTGAATTGGTCAAGGATTTGGGACCGTACATTAGTTGATAAGAAATACTGTGCATGGCTAAATATGATTTTCATGCCAACTTGAAATTTTAATGGAAGCATTGGTAATATATTACATAACTACAAAGATGAGATTTGGATTCAATGTTATATTTTATACATTTTAATAACCAGAAACAAATGAATACTTGGAAGGATGAACTTATGTGAGGCCTTTTCTTTTGCTGTTAGCAGACATGAGAAATCAGGTAATGAGCAGTTTTTGACCGAGCTTAGCAAATGGGTTTTCCATGAGAGAGGTCATCTTAAGGTGAGAGACATTTATTTTCTGTCTTGTGAATTCGGTTTTTTGTAGTTTTTGATTCTCTTGTTTATGTTGATTGTTTCAAAAATTAAACATGGAGGTCATTGGTTACTGACAATACTGTATGCTTCAACTCATTATTACTACATATAAGTTTGTTTTCTGCTGCATTTTATTAACTTGTTTTTTGATCTATAGGCTGTGAACGTCAGACACCACAAAGTTGGAGAATCAGATGAACCTGCAATTTATAGGATCAATGATGACTTGGTAATAAGTCTCTTTTTCCTCTTTTCTCCCTATTTAATCATAATTTCACTGAAAAGCATATGCTAGGTTTCCGCTGCTGCTAACATCTTTACTTGGTTGAAGGAATATTCGGTTGAGATTTATGAATGGTCTGGAACAAGCTGGGAACCGTATGTAGCAAATGATGTTCAAGTGCAGTTTTACATGATGAGCCCCTATGTTTTGAAAACCTTATCAAATGACAAGAAGGTATCTTATTTGATTACTGTGCTTATATGTTCATTAGATATGACCCTACTCTTTATGAAGTCGTATATCTCTAATCACATGTTCTGCAGGGTCTTTATTCTACATCATTTAAGGTTCCAGATGTTTATGGAGTTTTCCAGTTCAAGGTTGAGTACCAAAGACTAGGGTACACCAGTTTATCTCTGTCAAAACAGGTATTTCATTCTGTTGCTTATACATTATGGATATCATGCATATCAATTACTTCTGGTCAATCAGTTTACTAACTTGAAGGATCAACTTTTTAAGTATATCTTGATTCAGTTTGACCAGCAATTTAAGTAAATAATGTCACCATCTTCTTATACATCCATGATGAGATAAAGCAATTAAAAGAACTATATTTCATGCAAAATATTCCTATTCTTTTTTTTCCACTGCTTTCAGCATCATTTTATGAAAGATGCCCCAAATAAAGAAATAGCTTCTGGAGTAAAATATCTTACTTAGCACATTCCTGCAATGTGATTGCGTTCCCATCTTTATTTAATGTTCCAATTAGCAATTAAAAGTGCTTCTTGCTTTCTATTGTTGCACGTCCGCTTTTGTTCCTGTTCCATACAAAGCCTTTCTTAGTAATCTGCAACTCTTGAAACAAAACCCACTATTGATAAGGGATATATTAAGTTGAATATCCAAGGGTGCATGATATCTTTAAGTTGAATGAGTGAATGTTCCACTTTTTTGGGAACTCGAAACAAATCGAAGTTCATCTATTGATATGGGAGTTATTTAACTAGGGTAACAATGTTGGCAACTGTTGCTTAATCTGAATATTTATTTCTTTTCTGGCATATTTACATTATTTAAAAATAAATTTGCCACTAACATAGTTCCTTAGTTGGGTTTTGTACAACTGAATTGCAGATTCCGGTAAGGCCCTACCGACACAATGAATATGAAAGATTTATACCAACAGCTTATCCCTATTATGGAGCAGCATTCTCCATGGTATGGCACTTACTTTTCCCCCATCTCATCCTCTTATTCTTTCTTGACAAGAGATATCCATGGCATTTCTAATGCATTTTTTTTCTGTGGTTTCTAATGCAGATGGCTGGTTTCTTTGTCTTCACCTTTGTTCATCTTTATAGCAAGTAGAGCTTAAACTTTTTGATGGAAGAGAAAAGACACTGGACAAGGGATTAGATAATTTTGATTTAATTTAGACAGATCTTTATAACGTTATAAATACTTATCATTAAGTAGTATGAGAAATTCCTTTACTATAAGCTGTTTGATTTTTTTTTTTTTTTTTTTTTTTCGTATTAGTGATAATCACCCTCTTCAATCTCTTGCTTTCTACTTTAATATATGCAAAAATCTTTTCACAACTCTTGGTCTCTAAGCATTGGATGGTAAAAACCCAACCATCTACTGTTTCTGGGTCGATTAAATAGTAATTACAACTTCAAAATTACCCCAAATTTTAAAACCACCCAGATTGATTTTCCTTATTTTTCATAGGTGGGATTGAATGATTTTTCTTATTTCTTTATTCGAACCAATTTAGGTATATCTCAATTAATCTTTCGAGATTTTAAAGTTAACAACGATTAGGTAAACTGTAAACCTTATCGACCATCCCTATTAAAGTTAACAACGATTAGGTAAACTGTAAACCTTATCGACCATCCCTATTAACAGTTGAAAGGAATTGAATTCAAGACGTAATAGGCTAATACTCTCAACAATCTTTATCGTCCCGTCCGGCCACCCATGACCATCTCTCTTAACAACCCTCAGTTAATGATTGGTAACTCTTATTTAAGTTTTGTCCAGGCACCCAAAATTCAACCAACTTTATAGAACGCTGATACTAAACTCCTGGAAAAAATTTACCAATTCTAATAAACTTAAAATAACATTAGTGGTCATATTTGTGGTTGGCTTTTACAACTTCTAGTGTTGAAGTTTCCAGTTTCGAAATCATCAGATTTACTAAACAAGATCAGTTGACTAAAAACATTCTTAAAATTAGAACAATGAAGTTCAAGCAATCGATTGCTCATGCCGCATTTAATGGGGATTCATGGAAGTTAAAAGAAACACCCTTTCATCACCTGTAATATTAACCTCTATAAACGCAGAAGATTAAACCTGGTAATGGCGGTGACTTTCCAGAATCGAAGGGAAGCTATGAAGAAAGAAATCTGGCTTTTCAAACTCAACGGAATACCCATATTTATGTTGTATATTGTATGGTAAAGTTACTAATGAATGCCTTCAAGCGAGAATAGAAAAAAGGCATTATCAGCGAAACTTCCAGATTTACTCTTGGCCTCCCATGAATCAAATAAGCACTAACACTCAGCTTATTTGGGATTATGAAGGCCTCAACCCACCACCACGGCACCAGCACCCACCAAAAAAGGAAGAAAAAAAGTACATTAAAAATGAGAAAACTGAGCTCAAATTTGAACCAAACGGAGCATTTAAAGAAACATTTAACAATCAAAAACAGAAAAAAAAAAAAAAAAAAATACACAGATCTTGAAACTTCTTCTCAGTGACCCGTCTAGGGTTTCAATTTTAAGTCTACTGGACTTGCTTCCATCCTGTGATAAATAGTTCAGTTGAGAGTTGAGACGAAACAAAACCCTAGAGCGCGTTGAAGTAGCGCCCACTGTTACGAAACTCCGCTTCTTTAGAGATTAAATTTTTGGTCCTTCAGGTTTGGCCTAATCTTAAAGTAATGCTTAAGTCCTTGTTAAATGTAATGTTAATTGTCATTGTAGGGATTGGCACAAAGCCCGGCCCGTGGGGATCCACACCCGACCCGAATGGGGTGGATTTAATTAATTTTAATAATTAAATATTAATTTTAATATTTGAAAATCAATCATATATACTTATAATAATTTTAATATTTGAAAATCAATTTACATTATACAATGACAAATATAATTGACAAGTATTTTTGAAACTATATACAAATAGGTAATAAATAAAACTAGATTAAATATAATAATAATTATAAATATTTGTAATATATAATATATATATATATATATAATAATAATTTATTATATATATATATATATATATCTAATATATATATATATAATATGATAATGCTATGAAACTAAAGTTATACATTTGACATTATATATTATACATTATATATGGTATACATTTGACATTATATACATTATAAATTTTATATTATATATTATATATGGTATTTACCATATAAGTATAATGAATATAACATTATGAAACTATATACAAATAGTTAATAAATAAAACTAAATTAAATATAATAAATCATTATATATATATAATGTTATGAAACAAAAATTATACATTCGATGTTATATATTATACATTATATATGATATACATTTGACATTATACATTATACATTTTACATTGTATATTATATATGGTATACACTATATAAGTATGATGTATATAACATATATATGTTGTACATTATAATTTATACATAATATGCTATTATCTATAATCTTACGTTAATACAAAATATATATGTAATATATTATTTGTTGTTTTGATTGATTATAATGAATCAATAAATCATTATAATTTTTTTTTTTATCCCTCATTGAATCATTATTTCAATTCTATTACCTAATTGCCTTTGTTATATTGTGATAGCTATTTATTTAGAATTTATTATAATATATATGATAGTTATTTATTTAAAATTTATTATAATATATATGTATAATGTATCATATATAATACATTATATATTAAAGAGACATTATATATGTTAATACTTATTACTTAATACAATAATACATAATATTTTACTGTTAATATATAATATATTTATATATATGTATAATGTATTATAATTATCATTTTGATATTTGGATTCATTATAATCATTAATCATGGGCGGATCCAACATTTGTTGAGGGTGGGCATTTTAACAAAAAAATACTAATATGTATAGGTTCTGGATTTTGGCCTACCTTAACAGAATTGTTAATTGAAAAAAAAATATTAATGTGTAATTAGTTTTTATTTTGGCCTACCCTAACAGAAATTTTTGGATTCTCTATTAATTATAACAAATGTAAAAATCATTATAATTCTTTTTAATCATTATAATTTATAAATAAAATCCGTGACACCTTGTGGGTGTATGGACCAGGACCTTGTCCTTCGTTTTCAATGAATTTCAAATTTTCAATTCCATCTTTTCATTTCATAATTACCATTTTCCCTTGTTATGTTTTCATAATAACAATTTTGCCCTTCTTTATAAACACAAATTATGCCCAAATTCATTCAACTCACGAGGGACCCAGGTAATCAAAGTTTGAAAGTGAAACCCTAAATACCCAATCTTGAAAAAAGTTGCTGCCTGGTGTGCCTCTTCTCTTCATCGTCAAACCTTCACCGAAAATCCTGAATATCAGAATATCACCGCCTCTTCGCCGATTCCGGCCTCCACATTTCATCGGTGGCTCGTCACCTCTTCACCTCTTCTTTCTCCATACCCTTTGCATTAAGAAATCAAGATTCAAGAAAAATAGATTTGTTTTCCTTTAAAGTTTCAGGCTTTCATCAGTTTTGGTTCGTCTGAGTGAAGATTTTATGTGCCATTTAGATTGTTTGATTGAGTTATGCACTGTAGTTATACAGGAAAATTTTGTGTGGGGTTTAAGGGTTTAGATTAATTGAGTTAAGATTAAAGATTTTATGTGGGGTTTAAGGGTTTAGATTGGTTCATGTGATGTGATTAAAGATTTTATGTGCTTGAAAATTTAGTAATTGCAATTTATGTTTGCACCTGCTGTGCAGTGTGCAAAGTGCAAACTAAAGTGGAGTTTGCACAAGCAAATTGCAGTGCAGTTTATGTTTGCATGTAACGCCCCACTTGAGGTACGTTGCTAATGTTTCTTATTTCGCTCTTATTTGAGTCAGTTTTTATGAATAGTGGTTGGTTGGTCTTTGGTTGTATTGATATGTTGAGTATTTGCCTTGAATTGAGTCAAAATTAGAAGGTTTTTGTTGTTACAGGGTTCACCGGGGCGAAGAATAATCTTCGCCACGGCGAAGAGGTGTTAAGGCCACGGGGAAGCTGCTGGACAGTTTCGCCGCGACGAAGGAAGCTTCTTCGTCGCGGCGACGTGCCGGTTGAAAAGTTTATTGAGTTTTAGATATTTTTTTCCCTTAGGTAATATTTGACCATTTTACCCCTAATTAGCAGGAAAAGTGGGGAGTAAAATGTAAGGAAATTTCATGGAGAATATGTTAGTATGGGGGTGTGGTTGTAAAGAATCAAAGGATATGGATAGAATTTCTAAGAAAGAGCAAGGGCAAAATGGGAAGAATGAGTTTGTTAGGAGATATTTAGGGGGGTTTAGTCTTTGAGAACTTTTCATTTTCCCATTCCACCGCCTCCTCCATTCTCCAAATTCTCTCAAATTCCTTCAATCTTCCAATGATTTCCAAGAGCTTTTTGAGTAACTTTTAGTAGGGTTTTAATCTAAAGCATCCTAAGGTAAGGATTCTTGCTTTAGATGAGAGTTTTATTATGTTTTGATTAGAGTCTCATGTTGTTGGTTAAAGTTGTAGAGAGAAGGCAAGCTCCCAAAGGAAAGAAGAAGTGTTAAAGAAGCTATTTCTTCATAAAGTAAGTAAATTCAACCTAAGTTGAGATTTAAGAACTCTTTTGAGTAGAGTTATATATATAAATGTGTATTCATAAGGTTTGTTGAAATGAGATGAAAGAGATTAGTAGTTATGAATGAGTAATACACATAAATTGAGTTATGAGAAGTGTTTTATTTGCTTGATGTTGGGTTGAGTTTGATTGAAGTTGGAGGAAGTTTTGAGCAAGCTTATGGAAGTGTTTCTTCTTTTGACAGGAAATTTAGAGTTTGTGAGGGAGTTTCCTCCCATTTGGATGATTAAAGAAAAGAGAAAAGTTAGAGTTAGAGTAGAGTTTATATGCACATGAGTTGTTCGATGAAATGCTCAAGAGAAGCATAAGTAAGAGTAGAAAGCCTTAATTTTTACTACATGGCATAATTGTATTTCATAAATGCATTAATGAGTATGAGTCATTTATGTGCATTAACTATGCATTATTTATGCACTAGAGAAGAGAGTAGAGAAAGAGTAGAGACTTTTGAGTTTAAGCTACTCTAAGAGTAAAGAGAAAGAGAGAATAAGCACTATAGAGTAAAAGATAGAGTAGTGCTAAACAAGAGAATAGAGTGAGTTGTGCGATGGGGAACCTGTGAGTACGGGTAGAGTATTCCCACATGTACGCCGCTTTGAGAGAGCGGCATGAGTATCAGAGAGAGAAGTGGTGTAGCCCGTAGAGTACATGTGGATGAGGGCTATACCCGAGTTTACCCGAGAGATTCTATGCACTCACATGGCTAAAGGTTCCGAATCCATGCATAACCAAGTCCGGCCGGTTAGAATGAGTAAAAGTCACTGGGAGTGGGAGCGAGTCCCAGCCGTGCCTCCGGTCAGATGGGGCCGTGACTTACTAGAAAGAGAGTTAGTAGGAAATAGTTATGAGAAAGAGAAAACAGAGAGTTGTATAAGAGAAAGAGTAAATAAAAAAATTGTAGGGAAAGAATTAGAGAGAGAGTTATAGGGATAATTGAGTAGAGGGTTTACTTACTGAGCATTGTTTTGTGCTCATCCCGTTGTTCCTTATGTTTTTGTAGGTTCTAGATGAGGACACGGTCGGATGGACATTGGCACACGAAAAGAATTGGCTACACTGTCCACCCTATTTTGATAGTTTTGCATATGATACAAATCTTGTATATATTTGTATAAAGAATACATATGTTTAATAAAAGAAAATTTTGGGCCCAACTTTTTATGTTATTTTACATGTACTTTTACTATGCATATTTTTATGAGAAGGAGTCGTTACATTGCACCTGCACTGCAGTTTGCTTTTTCATTTGGCAAAGTGCAAACTGCATTGCAGTTTGCTTATGCAAAGCGTGAACTGCAATACACATTGCCAAGCAAACCGCATTGCAGTTTGCTTTTGCATCTGTTGTGCAGTTTGCACGTGCAAAGAGCAAATTGCACTATAGTTCGCACTTGTTTTAAAATGTTTATTATTATTATTTTTTTTTGTAATTGCAATTTTTTTTAACAAATTTGTAAACTGCTATAGGGGTTTTTTTGTAGTTATTTTTTAACATGTTTATTCTTTTGTGGGTGTTATCTGCAGGTTATTAATAGGTTACATTACACAATGTCAACATCGACCAAAAGAAGGGGTTTAGAAGAGGATGTGAACCGATCTTTTGAAGCATCCAAAAAAGTATCTATTGCAAGTTCCCACATGAATATTCCACCCGATGGGAATGACGAAGAACAATCTCCAGCTCAAGGAAATAACATACCAATCACGACCAATACACCTGGTTCAACCCTTCCCCCGCTTCCCCTAGAGGAAACTCATGTCACTGGAATTGGAAGGCCTAGGTAAGTTGTATGACAACATTTCAAAAAAGTCTTAGTTGATGGGAAGGAAAAGGCGAAGTGTAATTACTGTCATTGGCAGCTCGTCGGTGGTTCTAAAAATGGAACAAGACATTTGTATGATCATTATAAAATTTGTGCAAGGCGAAAGAATCAAGATGTATCACAAATGATGCTTGCGGGGATGCAAAAAAAAGATTCCATGAAGACATTAAGCAATTACCATTTAGATCAACAGGCACAGAGAGATGATCTTGCTAATATGATTATTCTTCATGAGTATATATCTATTGAGCATGGTTGACGATCTGGGGTTTAGAAAATTCTGCAACACTATTTCACCCTCCTTCAATATTGTCTCTAGGAGAACTATTAGGAGGGACATTATGAAGATGTATGAAGTTGAGAAGGAGAAGTCCATGAAAATGTTAAGCAAGAACTGGAGTAGAGTTGCCATTACTATTGATTTGTGGACTGCCAGCAACTAGAACAAAGGATATATGACTATCACAGCGTACTTTATCGATGATAATTGGGTATTGCATAATTAACTTTTAAGGTATTATGTTTTTTAATTTTTATGTTTCATTATTTTTATTTCTTTGTAAAATTTTAAGATAAATTAAAATATTAATTATCTACAATTTATATTGTAGATACATATGCGTTGCCCACATACTAGAGATGTGCTTTCTACGGCGTTGATGGACTGCTTTTATGAGTGGAGTATTGATTCAAAGCTGTCCGCATTGACGGTTGACAATTGCTCCACCAATGATGTGGTTGTCCAAGATATTTTAGGTGAGCTTCAACGTTGCACCCTTATGTTACATGGCGAATTTTTTCATATGCGTTGTTGTGCACATATTCTCAATTTAGCTGTTCAAGATGGATTATCGATTATTGGGGTAGTAATATCCAAAATCCGTGAAACTGTTTCCTATTGGATGACATCGCCTAAAAGGGAGCAAAAATTTGTGGAAATGGCACGTTGTGAAGCTAGGTCAAGACACGTTGGAATTCAACGTATTTGATGCTTCAAACAGCTTTCATTTATAATGGGTATTTAGGCATTTAAAGTTTCAAGATCCAAATTATAGATGTTAACCAAGTGATGAAGAATGGGAGTTTGCAGAAAATATAAGTGAGAAGCTAAAAATATTTTATGATACCACACTTGTATTCTCTACAACGGAAAAACTCTCTGCCAATTCTTATTTTCCAAAGATTTGTGAAATTAGACTTCATGTGACTAAAATGCTAACAGATGAGGATGATTTGGTGAGGAAGATGGCAACTCAGATGGATGAAAAGTTAAAAAAAATATTAGAGTGTGATTCATGGTGTCATGGGGATTGCAATGGTTTTAGGCCCTAGGTTTAAAACGAAGTTGTTAGATTTCTTTTTTCCTTTGCTCTATTGAGAGGATGGTGTAGATGAGATTATGAGGATCTGGAGATTATGTAATGATTTGTATGTTCAGTATTAGAGTAACCACCGAGGCTACCAAACACATCAATCTTATAGTTTCACTGTATCCTCTAGTAGTTCTTCTTAGACAGATTTTGAAAAGATGGGGGTAATGGCTAGTTTAGATAAATTTTTGCAAAAAGAATCTAGTATTGGCCAAGAAAAGTCTGAGTTGGATTCTTACTTAGAGGAGAAAATTATTCCTAGAACTCTAGGCTTTAATTTATTGACTTGGTGGTGACATTTGGGTCCAAATATCCTATCCTACAAAGGATTGCTCGAGATATTCTAGCTGTTCCGATGTCCACCATTGCTTCTAAGTCTGCATTAGCATTGCTGGCAACATGGTGAGTCTACATCGTAATAGGTTTCATTCTGATACAATAGAGGCATTGATGTGTCTAAGGAATTAGATATGGGCAGACAACAAAGGTAAAGAAAAAGAAATTTTTGTTTCTTCTACATTAAAAATTGAAAAAACCTATTAACATATGCTAGTTGTTAATGTTTATTTTCATTGTTATGTTAGGCCCGGGGCTAGGATATGGTTCATCAATTTATGATGATAGTGATGCAGACGATTTGGTATTATAGATTTGTATTTTGTAATATATTCTTTTCCGTTCCTCTTCTTTAATCATTTGTATGATAGTTAAAATTTGTGTACATGTTACTTAAATATCATCTAATTTATATTTTTCACTTGTTTAGGAGGAAATTGAAGTGGAATAATTTTGATGATATGGATACTTTTGGTGAAAAGTTTTGGATTTCATATGTGACAGGTTTATTTCTCCATATTTTAATTGTATGCAATTCGATATGGTTTAGATTTTTTTTAGGTTTGTAATAATCTCAAATTTGTCTATAGGTTGTTCGTGGGCTACACATGGAAATGGAATGTTAGGTGCTGTCTGTTGGTTGTTGAATCTTGATATTTGATATTGTAATGTATTGAATCTACTGAAGTACTGATGTGGATTGTGGGGTGGGTCTTTTTGGCAGCTCATTTTTTGAATCTTGATACTGTCATGTTTTGAATCTTTTGATTATAGATCTGTCACATATTGTAATATATTATCAATTTAGTATGATGGTTTTTATATTTAATATATACATTATAGATTTAATTTCTTTTTTGATGATATGATCTTTATGTTTAATATGTATATTATATATTCATTTTTTTTATTGGTTGGTATATATAATTTGGAGAAAAGGATAATAAAACTAATAAGGATATAAAAAGACAGAAAACCCCCAAACGAGGAACGGGCTTTTTTCAGGGATTCCTCGAATTCCCCAAACAGGCTTCGGGCTGGGAGCGGGGAATCCCCTTGGGCTTTCGGGCTGGGGCTGGAGACAAGGGTCCCCGACTCGTGCCCATTCCTAATTGTCAAGGACCTAAGTATTACTTTAAGATTCTTTTTTACCTAATTATACCTCAGGGACCAAAATATTTTAACCTATTTTAATCTTTTTTGGGGGGAAAATATATGTTGTTTTAAATTTGTGGATCTTAGAATAGAAAACTTGATGAGAATTCATAATTAATTTCACTATTTTTCTTATATGATTTTAAGACGTGTATGTGTGGGATAAGAGGAAGATCTTGACCAAAAAATACCATATTCGTCTTGATATGTTTGCTCATATTCTAATTAATAATTACTAATAAAATCTAGGATTGTGATATGTAAAATTCATAATTTAAATTCCATTTTCACCTTTGATTTGTCCACGGTAATTGGAATACGACCCTTTTGTTTAGTACAATAAATACTTATTAGGGTTTATGAACAAATCCTATATCTGAAAAAAAAAAAAGCAATGTTATGCTTACAACTACGGACAAAAAACAAATGATAAAGTAGTTATTTACATAAGTTTTGTATAATTTTTGTCTGTTTGTATGATTATGTTGTAAGCAAAACATTAATGAATTATATAAACTATTCCCTACAAACTGATATGACAACCCTGTATGTTTGACACATCGTCTCCTATAATTTGTTAAGTTTATCCCTAATTTAAAATCATCCTATCACATTTAAACACATCGGTTTGTATGGGTTATTACCTTTGGGTGATCGAGTGATTTGATAGGAACTTTTGGATGTATTACTCAAAAATGTCTTAAGTTCGAGTCCCTCTTCAGTTGCTAATAGCAGTAGCCATTGGAGCTCTTACCCTACCGGTAATTGCAGGGTCCCAAGGGATTAGTTGAGGTGCACGTACGTTGGTCCGAAAACCCCTGATCATTAAAAAAAAAAAAAAAAGTTTGTATGAGCATGAATTTTTCTTTCTTTCTTTTATTTTAATAAATTTCCCACTTTTGTTACCTCATATATACAACTTGGTATGATATTGTTGGCACTTAAAATTAATCCCAAAAATTAGTAAAAATTTACGAGAAAGTTAAACATTAAATCTAAACCCTTATAAGTTATAATTAAATGACACATGGCAAAACATAATTAAAACTTGAAATTCAAAGAGAAACAAGGGGAGGACTCTTAATCTTATCCATGTTTTAAAACTCTCCAATAATATGGTAAGAGAAATCTCATATTATAATTAGATAATTACCATATTTGAACTTTATATATATCAAGAAACGTTGAATCTAAAATTTTAGTTAACGTTCAATGTACCCAACTCAGAAAAAAAAAAAAAAAAAAAATCAAGAGCAAAATGGAGATTTTTTTATATATATCTATCAAACCAGAGCTCGTTTCTCCCATTAATTTAAATCTTCTCTACTCATATTCTCTTGTATCATAAATCCTTCAAACTCACAAAGAATTTAGGTGAGTCTCATCTATTTGATACTGCTTTTTCAATGGTATATACAGTTAGTTTTTATTGTCAATGTCTTGAAGTTTTTAACGTGCGGACTAAAGGTTAACAACTAGAAACCAATAGCTAACCATTGGTACGCTTTTGGTTTGCACATTAAAACTTTAGGATGTTGACACTTGAAAATTTTCGTGATTATATATATATGCATCGGCTTTAGGACTTTGATAAGTCTCTTGAATGTTTTCCAATTTTCATGCTAAATGTAGCTCTAGTCATGGGATCAAACCATGCATTGTGCTTTTTTTTTTTTTTTTGGTGATTGGGGTGTCTAGACCAGCTTGCGTACACCTCAACTAATTCTTAAGATCCTGAAGTTAATAGCTGGGTAAACCTCTAGTGGTCATCGAAGTGAATTGAATTCAAGACCTCTTGGGTAATACCCCAAGAGTCCATATTCAATCACTCGGCCACCCAAGAGTGGTTTGCATTGTGCTATTATTTCTTGATAAGATGATCTTTGTAATGGAATATTGTTATTGGAATTAATTAATTTATCTTGTTGTTTGACATTGTTGTAGTGAACATGAACTCCTCCGGAGTCGAGCTCAATAAGGTTATCTTCGTAATAGGGTCGACTGGTACGGGAAAGACCAGACTCTCCGTTGCCCTTGCTACTCAATTTTCGGCGGAGATTATCAATTCTGACAAAATCCAAGTTTACAAGGGGCTGGATATCATCACCAACAAAGTCTCTTCCCATGAAACTCGCGGTGTACCTCACCATTTGTTAGGGTTTCTGGACCCTGATGAAGATTTCACAGCTCAAGAATTTTGTCGACATACCATGATGACCATTCATCGTATTATAGAAAAGGGTCGTATCCCGATCATCGTAGGTGGTTCGAACAACTATATCAGAGCTCTCGTAGAAGATCCAACTATACAGTTTAGGAAAAACTTTGATTGTTGTTTTCTATGGATGGATGTATCATTACCTGTTTTGCACAGGTACGTAGGCAAACGGGTTGATAACATGGTTGAATTGGGGTTAGTGGATGAAGTCAGGGAAATGTTTGATCCTGAGGCAGACTATACGCGGGGAATCCGACGAGCTATTGGGGCTCCGGAGATGCACAAGTACCTGGAAATTGAAGGTCATGACATGGTTAATGAAACCACTAAAAAGATCTTACTCAATGCTGCTATCGAAGAGATCAAGGATAACACCTGTAAATTGGTGAATAGTCAGCTTGAGAAGATTCGAAGACTTAGAGATGAGCTCGGGTGGGAGATTCACCAGATTGATGCGACTTCTGTATTTCACAACAATGGGAAGAAAGAAGCAGAAGAAGCCTGGGAGAATGCAGTGATGAAACCTAGCTTGAAGATAGTTGGAAATTTTTTGAAAGAGAAGAAGAAGAGTCATCATGTTAAGTCTTCTACCTACTACTTTCAAGTCTTATTCTCGAGTTCGTCAGGGAATTTCAATGGCGAATTAGAAGGACAATGAGATAGGAATATCAGTCTCTCTATTATGTAATAACTTGTGAGCAATGAACGATGGATTCTTCCTGTCCTGTAATAAAAATGAAGTATGGTGTCTTCATTTAGTCCACAATAGCAATATATTTTATTTGGTTTGATATTATTTTCCTTAATTTCGGATATACACACATGCGCATTTTTTTATTTTTATTTTTATTTTTATTGGGGTTGTCCAGACCAGCTTGTATGCATCTTGAATAACTCCTAGGACCTAGAAGTTAATGACTCGATATACCTTCTAGCAGTTACGTATCTAGAATTTTTAGTAACTGGCTTTAAAACATTTAAGTTAATAAATTTACAATAAAATGTTGTAGGGTCAAATTGTAAATATTATAAATACATCCAAAACCTCCAATGTTCACCCTTATTAACAACTAAGAGGAATCGAATTCAAGACCTCTTGAGTAATACATCCAAAAGTTTCTATCGCTCCATCTTGTTACCCAGAGGTGGTTCACACACACACAGAGGTTATCATCCTTGCATGATTTTATGAAATACGAGAGGAGGTAATTGATAAATTCTAATATCTATAGAGTCTTGCTTATATTTCCTTAAACTTGAGGGTATACAAGAGACAATAAACCTAATAATTATGTGATAAACATATTATGAACACGTTATTTAATGTTGTTATTGAAGATATACTTGTAAATTACCTAAATAAATAATGTGATTTTTTGTTCCATATATGTATTTTTTATTTGGTTTAATATTATTTTCTTAATTTGGGATATGCCAGGTTTAAATGAAGAGTATATATAAAATAAAGGGGCCAAAACCGAATGTGCAATGTATCTAAATATCTATACATAATTTTATCATATTATACTCTTGAATTCTATTTGCTTTTACTTAAAAAGAAGCAAGTAATTTCCCATTAATTTGGACACCCTATATTTAAGGAATTTAATAGAGTATTATAATTGGTACTTATATTCATTAATTTATATTTTAATTGAAATACTTATATATAAAGATGAAATCTTTAAAGGGAAGAGTTAAATAAAAATTTAAAATTTTAAGAAAAATAATAGATACATATATGACTTTTTAGGTATATAAGATTTGTTTAAAACTTTCCTTGTAATTTGAATATGCCATTTTTTTAAATCTAATTTATTAATCATCATAATATGGGCAAACAAATCATGATGAAAAATGGAATTATATATATATATATATATANTTATATTCATTAATTTATATTTTAATTGAAATGCTTATATATAAAGATGAAATCTTTAAAGGGAAGAGTTAAATAAAAATTTAAAATTTTAAGAAAAATAATAGATACATATATGACTTTTTAGGTATATAAGATTTGTTTAAAACTTTCCTTGTAATTTGAATATGCCATTTTTTTTTTTAATCTAATTTATTAATCATCATAATATGGGCAAACAAATCACTGTTTTTTTTTCTTTTAACCAAGGTGTCCGAACCAGCTTACGCACACCTCGATCTATCCTCTAGACTAATCCTCGTGGGGGACTAGCGGCAATCGATTGTTACCGCCTCCACTTAAATCTTGGGAGTCAGGAGGATTCGAACCTGAGACTGTGCACCTTAACTACATCTCTCAACACTCATCCTACCACTTGAGCTGCCCAAGGGTGGGTTCACTAATCTTTTCAAAGCACAAAAAATTTAGGTAGTTATATCATTAGTCATTCTTTATTTTATTTTATTTATTTATTTTTGGTGTAGAGTAATTTTTTCTTAATTTTCAATTATATATAAATTATAATTGGGCATGACAAATTACATTTTTTTTTTTTTTTTTTTAAGGGTATTTGAGATATCCATACCTACATTGGAGTTTGCCTAGTCCTTAGGATCACGGAATACCCCACAAGCCCAATAGACCAAGGTAATTGGACAAATGTGGTAAACACCTCTCCTGCGACTCAAACACAAGACCCCCTGGGTATAGCTGACTCCAGTGGATAAAAGGTTTACTATCTGGCCACAAGGGGAGACTCTTTTGCAGTATTGTCTATATGGACTCCTTTAACGAAGGTCACAACAAGGTTATTTTTCTAAGGGGATCAACGGGCATTGGAAAAAACCAAACTTTCCATTTTGCTAGCCACTTATTTTCCAATGGAAATTATCAATTCTGACAAAATTTAAGTTTACAAAGGTCTTGATATTATCACCATTTATTAGGGTTTAGGTGTCTCACCACTTATTAGGGTTTTATAAACCCTAATGTAGATTTCATAGTTCAAGAGTTTTGTCGCCTTAACCCTAATGACCATTCATTGTATTATACAAAACTGTTGTATCCCGATCATTGGAGATGGTTCCAACAACTATATACAGAGCTCTCATAGAGGATCTCAGTTGTATTCTCTGGTTGGATGTCGTTTTACCAACTTTTGTAGCGAAAACGAGTTGATCAGTGGTGGAATTAGGGTTAGCTGATGAAGTCATCAGAGAGGTGTTTCATCCAAAAGCCACATCTATGTTTGATAAAAGTGGCCGGGAAAGAACAAAGAAGGCTGGGAGAAAATGGTGATGGAAACCTAGATTATAGTTTATTATTGGCGAATTCTTGAAGAATGATGTGGGATCTAATGGGCCAGGCTTTGAAGCTCATGAAACATGCGATCTTAGAGGCGGTTGGTTTACGTGGCTTCAACTTCAACTTATACGACACACAGATGGCAGAGGGCAGTTTGAAAGTTGGAGATCAGCCGCCATAAAAATTGGTGATGTCATAAGTCTCAATTCGGAATTTTATTTTATTTTTTATTATTATTAGAGTAAATGACTTTTTCCCACCCAAGGTTTTCCTTAGCAACACTTTCATATCCAAAAAGTTTCAAAGTACTATTTTTTTCACCCAATAGTAAGATTTTGTTACTACCCAAAGTCGATTCCGATGTCAAAAATTCTCCTTCTCATCACATTTAAACTTCTAATCTCCTCTTTAGAAAACCCCTCTTACCATGACATCTGATTTTTCATCGATTGTCAACCACCGTAAAGCTAGGGTTTCATGTTCTTAGCTGATTTCTGGCTAAGTCCGAGGGCGAGCATTCAATCGACCACGACCATTTGATCCGCCGGCCTCCACTCTATAAAAACCCTCTCACCCTGACTTTTGGTAACTCAAATGCTGGTTGAGAAAGTGGAGTGTATTTTGAATATTAATGGAATATAAATATTGGCTGGGAAAGTGGTATTTTGAAACTTTTTGGGTGGGAACGTGTCATTAACACAAATCTTGCGTGGGAAAAAGGCGTTTACTCTTATTATTATTGTAAAATGGAGTATTTAAGAGTTGAGACATCCTTTTACGTAAACATAATATTAAAATTAAAATAAATAAATAAATAAATAATTATTTATTGGCTTCTAACTTATTAGTGCAAGTTGATATATATAAGCTTGAAAAACCTCTCTCACTACGGCATCTGATTTTTCGTCGATTGTCAACCACCGCAAAGCTAGGGTTTCATGTTCTTAGCTGATCTCTAGCTGATTCCGAGGGCAAACATTCAATCGACCACCACCATTTGATCTATCGGCCTCCATTCTACAAAAACCCTCTTACCCTGGCTTTTGGTAACTCATTGAATGGTGGCTGAGAAAGTTGAGTGTATTTTGGATATTAATGAAATATAAATATTGGGTGGAAAAGTGATATTTTGAAACCTTTTGGGTGGGACCGTGTCATTAATGCAAACCTTAGGTGGGAAAAAGATGTTTACTATTATTATTATTGTAAAATGGAGTATTTAAGAGTTAAGTCATTCTTTTACGTAAACATAATATTTAAATTAAAATAACGTAGATGCAAAAATCTGCGGTTACAAAAAGAAGGACTGATCCCGTGAGATTGAGGTCATTAGCAATCTGCTACACTTGCACATGTGAGAAAACAAGCGTGAAGCATACGGAAAACACTAGGATGGTGTTTGTCTCCTGGTGTTTTCCGTAGGCACTTCGACGCTCAAGTCAGCAAGGTTGAGTAAGGCTAGTTTAGTGAGGGTTAGGGAAATGAAAAGTTATCGAAAGCCTAGTCGGGGACTGTGACTACGATGCGAAGTTCTTAAGTGGGAACTCCAGGGTCTGAAGGTATAATGTTTCTATCCCTTGTGAGAGGGCTGGCCTCTGTTTAAATAGTGACTGTATGGTCTTCGAATCCTGGTTGGACTGGGAGTCCTAGTAGTGGTAATCCTCTCAAAGGGTGTAGCCTTTGGCTCCCTTATCTCAGCACGAAAGGGAGTTCGAGTGTGCCTCGGATACAGACCTTAGAGGGATTGGGATAGTAATTGACTTCCTTATCAGAGTTCAAGTAGGAGTGTAATTTGTAGGCGACTGTGGGCTCTGAGTTGATCGTAAGCCCAGTAGGTGTTCCAGGATTAGGAGGTTTGGGTCTAGATGGTTAGAAGCTGGAAGAGCATACCGAGTGGGCCTCATCTACAGAATTATGATTTGGGCCCCGTTGGAATTGGGCCTGAGCTTTCATCTTTGTCGGAGGTGTCTCCGTCTTTGGGCCTATTTGGGTCGAGGACATTTTTTGGCCCTAACAAATAAATAAATAAATAATTAATTATTGGCTTCTAAATTATTAGTGCAAGTTGAGTTTAATATATATATATATATTATAGATATAATACTATATATATATATATTATATATATATATATATATATATATATATATATATATAAATATATCCATTCCCCCCAGTTTAGGCTTAACAAAGTAATGTAGAGTGAAACACAATATGTTGTAATGATAAGATGACAGGATAAATAGACAGTAATATGGAAGATCTAACAAAATTTTAGAGCCACATATTAGTTGATTATCACATTGCATGGCCAACAGAAGGAATAGGGAAAAAAAAGGGATTAAAAGAAATTTTTGCAAGTTAATCCCAAAAATTAGTCAAAATTTAAGAGAAAGTTAACATTAAATCTAGACCCTTAAAAGTTATAAGTA